AGATCAAGACATATTTGGTTTAGCCATGCAAATAAAGTCATGTGTCTAGAAAATTGCATTCAACCAATCAAATAGGAAGAGGCCGGTTTGTGATGAAAAGTCAAATTGTTTATATTTTGCGATCATACTCTGCCACATATACACGAAATAATAACTGGCCCAACATGGTACGAAAGCTGGCCGATTTTCATAATTCACATGCCTTAAGAAATATATATATAGTCGACCTGAAGACTGTGTTTGGTCGTATGTCAATATGAAAAATATCCATGACAAAGAGTGGTTGAACTCTAACATAGCCACGTGTCAATCAACTACATAGAGACACGTGTTATATAAATTAGAAAAGGTGAGAGATGTAAATACCAGCTGTGTTGTTTTGGGACAATGGGTCGGTTAGTAAGACTATTGCCTAAACACTCATAAGATAAAGAGTCAAATGGTATCACATATAGTTAGTTTGGAACCGAAACAGCATAAAGTTGAAAATTGGTGAAAAAGATGGCCATTATGTTTAAATGGTCGAATCATATGTATGAGTATGAAGTTAGAGATCAGTCGATTTATCTCTATACACATGCTAGTAAAGATTAGTGATGTCCAAAGGAGATGTGGTCCATTGCATTGGCGGAATACGGTATTCGGTCGTTTGGCTGTTAGAAAATATAAACATATGTATATCTTGGCCGATGTTTCTTTATTTATCAACTAGGCGGTTTCATGTGCTTTTGTACGGCTGTATAATGTTTCGTTTTTTTAAAATGTAAAATATATGTATCAAGTAAATTATTAAAAAATTGAGGTGCATTTGATACATGTAGAATATAATTTAAATGTATTACTTAGAATTAAAATTTTTTATTCTAATTAAAGTGAAACATCACTCGTAAAATAGAATATGAAAAAAAATAAGAAGACAAAAAAGTTAAATGATAAGAGAACATTAAGAGTTGTTTAAAAATCATAAATAAGAGAATAATTTTTAAAGAGCTATTATGTGTAAAATCCATAAAGGTCATGAATTATAGAGAGGTACGGGACATATTTTCTCTCCAAAATTTCAATTTTTCCTAGTTAAATGAAAACCAAATACTCAAATTTTAAAAAGTTTTACTCTCCAAAGAGAGAGTCATGTCAACATCGAACAAATTTTTATGACAGTCTCCCATGCTTCGCATGACTATGTAGTGCTTTTTTAGGTGTAAGATATATATTTCAAGTAAATTGCTAAAAAAATTAGGTGCATATATACAATTATGATTTAAATATATCATGAAGAATTAAAAATTTTTATTCTAATTAAAGTGAAATACCACTCTTAAAATAGCATGTCAAGGAAAATAAAAAAGTAAAATGTTATTATCTTTGTTCCTAAATACTTGTCATAGTTGAAGTTTTACGTCCTTAAGAAAACCATTAAATTTGTCTAAGTTATAATAAATTAATGAGTAAATTGACTATATTATCATTAATGTAATACTCACTCCGTTCCACTTTAATAGCAACAAATAGAGATTTTACCTTGTTCCATTTTAAGTGCTCATTTAGGATTTTGAGAGCGTATTAATTAATTTTTTTTCAATTTTATCCATATTTATTAGGTGTTTTGTACCAAGATTAGAGGGGGAGCTTTTAATTTTAAGAAGGGTAATTTAAACATTCTATCATATATTTTTAAAAAATCAATATGTTCCAATTATTTTTTTAATCATTGTGAAAAGATCAAATATTGCTATTAAATTGGAACAGAGGGAGTATATCCAAACACCAATTTTTTGAGGAATTGATGCATTAATTGTTGGTCATATATAAAGGGTAATCATAAAAAAAAATATTATTCATTGAAACTATAAATATGACAAGTATTTTAGAATATATTACTTTTCCAAACGTAACAAATATTTGGGAATAGAGATAGTAAACCATAAGGGAAGACATTGTATTTAAAAGTCATAAAAGTCATAAATTAGAGAATAATTTTAAAAGTAAAATCTAGAAAAGTTATTAAATTAGAGAGAGAGAGGTAAGAGAGACATATTTGTTCTCCAAAATTTTCAATTTTCTAATAAAGTTAAAAACAAATTCTTACCCCTCTATTTTTATATAGAGAAACTTTCAATTTGAGCGTTTCATTTATATAGAGAACTTTACTCCAAATAAAAATTTTGGAAAGGATGTCAGATGAAAAAGTCCAAAATGTCCTCATATAAGCTTTGTAATCCGCGTGCAGATTGTGCTCTGAACGAGGAAAGTGGCAGATAAAAGGAAATACATTTAATGCATTTAAGTTTTCAAAGTCTGACTAGATGACTAATTTTCAATGTGTATTTTCAACAGTGTGCTCGACTTTTGGATGCGAACACAAACATGAGCGATAATTTGTGTAATTATCCAAAATATGGACACACAATTGAGGTATAGTGTATTCACCTTTTATCATTTTGTGCACAATGAAATAGATGCACCCAATTCATGCGCTAGAGAACGAATTGTCATTTATCATTCTGTGCACACATGAAACAAATGCGCCTAGTTCATGCACCAAAGAACGAATTGTCATGTGATGTCTAAGTGAGATTTCTATTATCCTATGTGCTAGATTTGAACTCTTTTTCTTTCCCCCTTCCATAGACCTTTCATGCGAGAAATATTATTGTTTGGATGGATATTAGCATTTCGCCGAATCCTATAAACTGACTTTAAAGATATGTTAGATGTGGCTGCAACTTTTTATAACTATGTGTATTTAGATTACTTTGTTGCAACTCAGAAAAAAATAAGGTGCTTATAGAATTCTTTACATGATCTGATATATTTTTCTTTTTGTTTCTTTTTTTCTCATTACCTGCAACAACATTTTTAGTATGACTCATTTCAGGAACCACCACAATGCATTCTTATGCATCAGTTAAGGATTTCAAATCTTGCAGATAAAAAGTTGCATGTATATTGTAAGAATGTGTGGGCGAATTTGTTAGAACTTCATTAAGATAAAATAAAAATGAATTATTCATGATGCTAGAAAATATAGTTCTCTTTTTCTGTTGCCCTTAGTTTGAAAATCTTAATACAATTACATGTTCAAGTTCTGTTCCAAATTTGTATAAATACATATTGTAGAAGTTGATTTTAAATTGAGAGTATAAAAAATTTTGGCTTTCCACATTTTCGTCATATTTGCACACATTTGATTGAAATTACTAAGGAGTTTCAAAATAAGAGAATTCAAGATTTCAAATGTGGAATTTTAAATTGAGAAAGTTTGAAAATGGATAAATTAATGCCATTAGCTCACAATTCCCTCTATTTTTGGCTGAAATCCATAATTAATGATGTTTTTGGAGTCTATCCGCATAAGTCAGCTATGCATCAAATAAAGAGCCCATATAACACTGTTTAGGGGTAAAATAGGTATATTTTAATAAAATTATTCAGTTAAACTACCTTCTACAAATTCAGTTATCTCTATATAAAAAGAATAGATAGAATAATTTTTAGAAAATTTCACTCTTTAAAAAGAGAATACGTCAACATCCATGATTCTCCTTGGTATTTATGAAATGATTGCATGAGGACAAAGCCTCGGCTAATGAATTTTACATATTCGGTCAGAAAAGCAACATGGATTTCGTCCTCAATGTATCATAAAGAACGTAAACGGAAAAATATTCCACCCCTACATTTGATGCAATGTATTACTTTCAACACTAGGAACTTTTTCAAAAGATATATTGTATAGCCATTTTTGACGCCCATCTAAAAAATACCAATCCCATTTTAATTGTATTCTGGCCCTAAATATATGTATTAAATATTCTAAGGAATTCTTATTATCGAGGCAAGTTAAGTTTCACATATAAATAGGTTTTTTGTATTTTTATAAGCTCGATCAAACCAATAGAAATAAATCGAATTGTTTTGCATTTAACTCACTTTGTATTTTCTCTTTTTCAACCATCGAATTCTTATATTTCTTTCTTATATTTATTTTTCTTATCCTGGACTCTTCTCATTCTTTATTTTTATCTCCTTTTCGAACTAACGCATCCAACCTATTTGGATTGACTTTTTGGCAACCTATATATCCACTTGGTTTATTGTATGTATTTTCTCTTTTTCAACCATCGAATTCTTATATTTCTTTCTTATATTTATTTTTCTTATCCTGGACTCTTCTCATTCTTTATTTTTATCTCCTTTTCGAACTAACGCATCCAACCTATTTGGATTGACTTTTTGGCAACCTATATATCCACTTGGTTTATTGTACCGCAGCTCGATTTGGATTGACGTTTTAGCAACCTATATATCCACTTGGTTTATTGTACCGCAGCTCGGCTACTTTATAAGCTGTTTATAAAGATCCTCGTACCTCGTGGGCCGTCCATGATTGCATGTCCGTTCTTTTCTCCAAACAAAGTTACACAGCAAAATGTACTTGATTATAAAAAAAAAAAACAATATAATTTCAGGATTAATTTTATTGCATTTAAATATTAAAAGAACTAAAAAAAAAAAAAAAAAAACAAATACACGAAAACCCTAGATAATTTTTAGAGTTAAAAAAAAAAAAAAAAAAAAATCAAACACGAACCCTAGATATTTTTAAGTTCAAAATTCTCATAAGCCTATGAAGCCACTAAAGAGCTAAATTTATTTGATATACCGAGCTAAATCATTATAGAGCATTTAACACTGGAGCTAATTTTTTTTAATCTAACCACAATCAATTAGCCTTACACATCCCAATATCATTTTATAACCTTCAATTCGATTCATTTAATCAAATCGATTTTTGGCTGATGGTCAATTTTTCAGTTGACTTCGCTCATCCCTAGCCATTAATGGGTATAGCCAGACAAGACAATACTCATTTCACTTCATAATCACACTATCTTCACTTCTTTTCTCTCCCCATTGCAGCCTACGCATTTCAGCTTTTATGACTTCAATTTCTTCACATCATCCAGGAGTTTTTGAAATAATTCCAAGATAAAGACTACAAAGCAAACCTCAAACCAGCTAGATAAGATAAATTAGACTAAAAGGAAGACAAGAACTACATATTTATAGCACTACATTATAATACAGCTAGAATTTAATAATGTAAACATCTTTTACGCCAAAGACGCAGTTAGGGTTAAAGGAAGAGAGACAAGTGCCTGGAGGTATATGTTTTTCCTTTTCAGCCATAAGAATAAAAAAGCAATACCATTGATGAGCAATCCTATTGTTTCTCTGTCTGGCCTTGACAAGTTGTGGACACTTTAATATTATTCTTCGAGGACTTTCCCAAAACATTCAGAATCCCCACACGTTGCACTTCTTTTGCTGTAATGGAGAAAGAAATGGGTCATGACTCATGAAATCTGTTAGCTTCAAGTTACGTCAAAATATCGAGATAATTACAGTCCACAAAACTAATCGACACAAGCAAATCATACAGAAAATAACTGCTAAGGGCATTTATAAAAAAAAATAAAATAAAATAAAATAAAAAAGAGAAGACTAAGAAAGAAATACTACTGTTATCGATACAAGATTTTAACTCCTATATCTACTCTCTTTGACCAACCTACAGACACCTGATGGGCGTAGAACAATGATCCAATGGCTTTGGTATCCTGATCGGACTGACCTCCTGTAGACAAAGCAGGTAAAACACAAATGCGGTCTCATGTGCACCAAGCAAAAACTTAGAAAAAAGGCTAAACAATAAACCTTTAGGTTTTATTTATTGAGCTCTTATCAGTCTAGAAAGACAATAACTGCTCTAGTATTCTACGATAAGGACGTGGACTAAAAGTTTAAAGTTTATAAGCTTTTAGAATAAGTGCGACTATAAAAGTACCACTTTCATAAAGCTTAATAATCAATTTTCCAATGGATGAAATACCAGCGGTTATGCTCATATTGCGCTATGCATTTCAAGCCTACATGTAATGCCCACAGGACTCTGAGTACAAATCCTCACCTTTGATTTACTGTTATTAGATGCTTGCAGACAGAACATTTACCTGTAATTCAAACAAACTCTATAATTTGCTTTCCATGTAATAGTGCTCCCCAGTTAAGTCGACCCATAAACACTGCTAGAAGTTCGGACTTGCAAATGTTCCTAATCAGTTTGGTATTGGAGCTTCAACATTTTTAAAGCTTGTTGCTTTGATCTTCCTCGATGATGACAAACACCATAACTAAATCACAGATTTCACAGAGCGAATTTAAACCACAAGGTATGAAAGCTGCTACCAATTTAGAACTCTTCTAACACTTGATCTTGCATAGAGGTGGCAATTTCAATCCATACCTGACAGGGCATACCTGCCCTCCAAGGGTAAAGGGAGGGTATGAGTTTAGGCCATCCTGCCCCAACTACCCCAATCTGCCCCGACTGTAAAGTATAAATATATTTGAATTATAATATTTAATTATATAAATATATCAAAATTTATTTGACTTTTAAACATAAAATTTACCACTCCATATTTCTTTCTTCCTCAAATCTTGACTAATAGTATGGAAAATATAATCATGTTTTGACATATATTTTACAAAAACAAAAGTTCACGATACTATGTAAAAAAAATTTCGTGATTTAAAAAATTACAAAAGAATAGAATAAGGAAATCCCACTTCACACTCCACTTGATTTTTCTCTACTGCAAACCTAACGAGCTAAGCATGGGAATGCAAAAACCCACCATTCCCTGCCCCTACTCGTCATTCCAAATTCTGCATTGTTTTTTGATTTAGTGAATTATTCGTGCTTTGACTTTATAACATGGGGGATGCTTAGAGTAAGGTTCACAAAGATGAAATTAATTGGATTAGCTAAAATATAGTGGTATCATGTTAAAATATGTCATGATGAGATTGGGCTAACCACTAATTAAAATGAAACAAATGAAAATTAAACAAGATGAAGAATTAATCATTCTATTATCTTGAAAAGATGAGCCAAAGTATTTATACTTTTAAAAGGGGCTAGACGCTAGTAGCTAGGTATTAAGCAACAATTTGAACAGTCACTCAAAGCCAAATGATAAGGGATTGGACACTACTTATCTACTTTCTGGACTTCATAGAATTACAAACAGGAATCTCTAGATGGCGACAATAAATGAATACCAAACAATCGGAGAGGTTGCATCAAGAAACAATGAAGGCAGAAAATTAAAGAAAGCAATTAGAAGAACCCCTGCAGCAAGCTGATCAGCCAGAGAAAATCAAACCAGCTATTCATCCAAGCCGGTATCAATTTGTACCCCACAAGTGACAAGAATGTTGTTGGAGAAGCTGGACAATCATGAGTAATTTAAGCAACCAAAAAAAGGCTATAAAAGAGTTGGGAATCAAAGAAGGCAAGCTAGCTATATTGTGATAATAAGAACCTGAGATTGTTTTCCAGAGAAGATATAGAGTATCAAAACACAAAGATATTATGATAACATCCAAATGATGGAACTCTCAAATTCTAAGAAAGGAGGATAAGATTCAATATGAAACAAAGAAAATAGAAATCACGAAAGAGTTTGGCTTCATTATTAAAGATACAAAAGGTATTTGGTTTAGGCTGCACTCAATTGGTGTTCAAGCTATAACTGTCATTCCAAATAATTCATAAGAATTCTGAGGGAAACATTTAAGCATTTTTATCACTGTTGATTGCCAAGAAGGAAAACAAGCAGTTCAAGAAATCGTCAGTTTTGTATCTAAGGATTTTAAACCTCAAAAATGAGTTTTCTCTGTCAAATGAAAGGAAAGTGATGCAGACATGAAACTAAAGAAAAAAGAGTTTGAAGACGCGAGAAAATTAGATTTTGATCTCAATTTTCTCCAAATTTACTTGGGATGTTATTCGGTACTTAATATTCTCTGTAAAGCTATAGAAGCATATTATCGCCAGTAAATCAGCCACCGACCAATATTTTACAACTTCAAGATTCAGGAGTATTTTTATGGTTTAAAGCTCTTTATGGAATAAATTACATAAATGTCTCTAGATTCTATTTTTAATTATTATTTGAGTACTTATTGGTCTAGGAAAACAATAGTCCTTTCAGTTTTCACAATCCAAATCCTTCAGAGCTGTAGGACTGCTTGTAAGAACCTAGTGCATTGAGACTTTGCTATTATTCAGTACTTTATATTCTCTATAGAGTTACACAGAACAAGCATGTTATTTCAGAAAATTAGTCTTTCACCCGGAATAACTTCATGATTCAGGGGTATTTTTATGATTATATCTATGCTGGAATAGGCTAGTTAGGTTTTATTGGTCTAGGGAAAAAAAAATCCTTTTAGTTTTTGTGATTTCACAGAGGACTAAGAGTAGTTCTAAGAGTCAAAAGTTCTCAATATTTGAACATATCATACCGTGTTTATAATGCTTATTGATTAATCAGTTTTTTCATCGAAAAAAATACTATTAGCTATGCTTCTTTGATTGTGTAATGCAATTCAAGTATTCAATCCTAGTTGTGAGACATATGAGACCACAGGTAAGATGCTTAAGGAAGTTTAGCTCTTGAAGTCTAAAACTTTGATTAACTGTTCAAAGTTGTATTTAACATGCATTGCCAAAGAGCCCTTGCAATTTATGTTCCTTGTGCTTTTCATCAATCTTGGCGGCAAATTCTGGTTGCTTAATTTTCTGGTCTTTCCCATATTTCAAACCAATCCATAAACTTTCAGACCTGCAAGATACCTTCCATATTTATTGAAGGGAAACTTTCTTACCAGATTGTTACAGAAGTACTGCAGTTATATACTATGCCTACAGCAGTCTTAGTGATAGCATGTCTATATTATGCTGCCAATAAGACCCTCAAATTGTCATGAGCATCATTTGCACCAAGAACGACTTCTGGCTCTCCATCCTAATACCAACTATTCCTCTCCCACCAAATAGAGAATACAATAAAAGCAAGAGTGCCTGTGGTCTTGGAGTAAGGCCAGGAATAAAATGCCTCTGGACACTTAAATTAATGGTTTCAGAGATAATGGGTTGGTACAGAATAGACAATTTCATTATGCTCTTACTATGTGAAGCTGCCAGGTTCTAGATATACTATTTTATTCTCTAGATCTTCTCAGTGGTGCATAACTTGTTCTACATTAGTGGTTAAAACTGTTGCAAATGCATATAAATTTGAGCAAAAGATTTAGCCTTCTATGCTCTACATACATCTTGCATAACCTAAGGCCAATGTTACTCTTAGGTAAAACAAGGCTAATGAAACCCCAAAGAACGTTAATAACACCAGGACCCTGTAAGCAATTGTGGATGCAATGATAATAATCATGATGTAATTGCATTCACTTACATTGCTTACTTATAACAGAAGCAAATCTATGCAAAATGAAGGGCTTTGACTATTACAACAGGTAAGCAGAAAGAACAGCCAGGTAACAGCCTAGCACAATGGCGGATTTAACCAAAAAAGAATAAGCATTTGCACAGAAGCAAACACAAGTACTTCAGAAAATTCGACTCAGAATGAGACAATTATAAAAGGAAGACTTTTCTTTGCTTCAATCATTTTATGAAACCCCTGATGTAGGAAGTTGAGATTGTAGAATATAATTATTTCTGTGAATGAAAAGAATTTTGAGATTCCAATTGTTCCTTTCAACAAAATCATTATTCAATTTAGGAAGGTTGCATTTGGCAATCTCTTTTCATACACAGCACCAAAAAGAAAATAAAGGCGTGTAAATCAGATATGTCACTTTACCTTCTTCCAGTGAAAGTTGAATGGATCTCTTCTCCAACTCAACTGCATGTCTGCTAAGCTCAACCGAGGAAAGTGAACGAAGCACTAATAGAACCAAAAATAATCTGTAAATAAGTGCAAAAAGAACTTTTATAGTGGTAAATTAGATTATCTCAATGTGGCATCTTTGAACCTCAACCACTTACTCTGTACATAATCCTCTTGATCTGATTCATCTAGTTTCTTTAGTAAAATTTGCAACTGATGATATCGCTCCTCCCAGTGCAGGTTTTTCATTCCCTTCAGATTAATTGACAAAGGGACAGCAGAAGCAACATGATGATAATTGGGTTCTGCTGCCACAAACCTCATATTAGGGTTGACAACAGGAAGAGGAATTGAAGGTTTTCCAGACGAACTTGTCAAGGAACCCACAGGCATAGGTGCAAATGCTGGAAAGCAAGAAACTCTTGGCTCCTTTATATATGGGTTTGCTTGTGTAGTCTCCTCTTCATTGTCAAGTTGCCTTGAATTCAGGCAATCAGCATTAAGACTTCTTCCTTCACAAATGTTACTCTTGCCTGTTTCTGCTTCAGCTTTCCTACGAACATAGACAAGCTGAGCATTTGCAGCATTACTAGTTGGAGATTGGTGATGTGGAGTGCTTACTGGACCCTTGGATGAGGGTCTCTTGGTACCAGAAACCTGTAAAGAATCCATAGTTTGTCCTCTATCCTTTGGCAACGGAGAAATCCCAATAGAATGAGGAATTCTATTTTCATTTTGCACGTCTCTCAATGCTGTCTTCTTTACTGCAATAGCAAATGGCTTCTCACAAGTGGACAAATTAGCTTCAGAGTTGCCCAGCCCATACTCATTCAATTTCGAGTCTACTGTTTGCTGAACCATCTGAAATAAAGACCAAATTTAAGAAACCTCAAAATATGTTATCAGCATTCTGTTGTTATGTGTTTCTTCCATAAAAGCAAGCATTATGTTATACCAAGAGGCATAGTTTTCAAAGGTGCAAAAAGATACCCGGGCAAACTAAGCACAAGGTGCAAGAGCAAGACCACACTTGAGGGATGCAAGATGCAAATTTACTAAAAATGTGTATGAAACATTACAGTGTAACCAAGGATAATGGATCATAGTCAAATAAAAATTCAATGGAACAATGAACTAAAAATTTATTTCAATATATTACATTCAATTACATCATATGCTAAACTACACCTAAGATTACACTTCAACATGTACTTCCGGATAATCCAAAAGCAAAACAACGAATAACTAATAATAAAGCATAAGCACACAAAATCATAAAAGAAAAATAGAGTGCAAAACAAAATAGCAGCCACCAATGAGAATAAACACGAAATCATAAATCTTAAAAATCTGAGGAATGCAAATAAAAAGGTACCCAGAAGCAACCAGAATGCCATAAACGACCACAAATATTCAGTTTGTAAAAACAAGTAGGAAACTGCCCGCATGTAGACAAATGTATACTCAAAATCAGACGGTAGAGAGATACAGATTGAATTGGATCAAGATGGAGGAAAAGAGGGAAAAAAATTATCAAAGGAAACACAAGAAAGTTAAAGAAAAAATTAAAGAATCTGAAGAAAAGAGAAGAATAAGCAACATTAGATCATTGAACAGATAAGAGAACAGCATGGAAAAAAAAAAGATGGTAACCAACCTGATTCTGTTGGTGCAGGACATAGAAGAAGGTTTGATGAACAAAAGAGCCGAAGAAAGATGCTGAACAAAATTAGGGCATTTGAACCGGATCCATACATTTGGGAATTGCTTGATTTCTGATTGATTGGGAAAATTCTTTTGGATGTATGCCACGTCATCTGGAGGTCAACCAATGAAAATGAAAAACATGTTACACTTGCCACGTCACCATACCTTGCTAATAGAAAAGAACTCTTAATTGTCTAGGCGCCAAAGTAAAAAAAATTCAAACCTTTAAATGAAATTTTCATTTTCTTCAATATTTTCTTTTAGCCTGACTTGAATATATTTTAATTTGTTAATTTAAACTCCAATTTAAATTTTAATTTCTGTCTTATTCTATTGATTAAAATTAAAAATAATAACTTTTTTTATTATTATTTAATTAAAAACATTTTCAAATGTTTTTTCTTTTTTTCTTTCACCACTATCTCTTCTTGGGTTCTTGACCAAAACAATGTGCTTCTAAAAATAATTTGTAAATGTGATATGATTTCAAAATAAATTCCAAATGTAACATTAATTTCAAAATCAAAATAAGGAAGAAAAAGATATGGTAATGTAAGTCCATTATTCCTTGCATCATAGGATTTGTTAGGGACGGTTTATAGATCATCAAATTCCCACAAATGGAATGAGATACAAAAATGTTAAAATCCAGTTTCAATCTATAGAGTTGCACATTTACAATGTGATTTCTTCAGCATTTCCTAAATTGATTAAGCAATAAAAGAAAATAATGCTTGAGAAACAATTGATGGGAGATATTGTATGCTATTTGGTTGGAGGTGAAGGAGAGATATATAAGGGAAAGAAAGATAACTAAGATATGTATCCCCGTTTAGAAAGTGGTGAGTTAAGAAAGGATGATGGTAAGTCTTACTTTCCTTTACCTCTTAAAATTTCAAATTTTATTACACCTCAAATTGGGGTGTAAGGCAGGAGAGGAAGGAGCGTGAAATTAATTTATTTTTTTGGTTTACTATTGTATCCTTTATCATTTTAGTAGGCTTAATTTCACTTGTCATACCTTAGATGTACATGCTATTATATTGTCATACCTCTAAATCAATTTGTAAACTTGTCATATCTTAGATGTACATGCTATTATGTTGTCATACCTCAAATCAATTTGTAACATAAATATGTATGACCTTCAATTTAAGTGAACAATAAATTAAAAATTTTACCTACTAACGAGCTTACGTAGGTGACATGGTGATTATTACTGAAAAGCGATGTCACGTTCATGCACATGAGTCTACAATTTTCTCCCACTCATAGTCCGAACTAACTTTTCTCCCACCTTATCCAGTTTCTTTTCAATCCCTATGAACTCCCTAGCTGCGGCAATCCACACTTCCGCCACCCCTCCACTAGTTCTCCCCTTTCTAGCATATCCACATATGACTCAAATTAATCGCAACATCGTAAATCAATTTTGGTAACATAAATATGTATGACCTTCAATTTAGGAAACAATAAATTAAAATTTTACCGTACTAAACGAGTACGAGGTTACGTGGCGATTAGTTATGACAAAGCATGTCCAATCATGCACATGAGTCTAAACACTTTTTTCCCAACTTCATATCCGAACAAACTTTGAGTCTAAACAACTTTTCTCCCACTCATAGTCCGAACAACTTTTCTCCCACCCTTATCATTTCTTCAATCCCTATGAACTCCCTAGCTGCGGCATCCAACACTTCAGCCACCACCTCCACTATTCTCCCTTTAGCATACCACAATGACATCAAATTAAATCCAACATCTGCTATTACCTTCTTATTCAAATCCGCAAAAACAGGCGGCCTTTTGATTCAAAATTCATTCCAAGTCCACCGATAACACCTTTGCTGCTTAAGGCCTTCTTACTGAGCCAAAGATCTCCACCTTCTTTCACCTCATCCTCATAAAATCCAGCTCCACAATCTATATGAAGTTGAAATGAACCTTCATATGGTAATCGAGTTGTGCTCAAGCCAAGATCTTCACGATTTAATCATGCCTAGCCCAAAAAACATCAAGAAATAGTCTAATAATTACACTCCTTAGGATTATGCAAAAGTCCCTAATTGTAACCCACTTCGATCTTTGTGACACTAGAAACTCTTTGCCGGAACTGTTGGCCAGGAGCTATACATCGTCATCTGGACCTCGTGTCGAAACTGAGTTTGTTGAGGATATTCATTAGAGGCCCATAATAAGAGAAAGGTCCCGAGTTCTAAAGGGAAATACAGGGATTAGAACAAAATTGGAATTTCTTGGAGAGAGAAAAGAAGGGTTTAAGAGGAGATGAGGAGGAGCCGTAAGTTTGGCGGCAGTAGAGGAGGTTACTAGATTGTGGAGAAATGTCTTTTTCTTCTTCTTTTTCTTTTGATAAGTTGCCAGGAGGTGCTGAGTTAAGTTGTGTAGAAATTGCTTTTTCAATTTTCCATTCCTTTTTTTTTTCTTTTTGGTTTTGCAATATTCCTCCTTGTCAAATTCATTTCAATTCCATTATTGTGATTGGGAGTGAAAGAAAAAAAGAAAATCTGTAATAATTAAATATATTTAGTATGTAATTATTATATTAAAAATATATTTAATTAGATTATATAAACATTACATTTAAAATATAATTATACTATATTATATTTCAGTAGCTGTCAATTTAATTTTCCTCACTTGCATTTGTAGTTGTTTTTGGTGGGTTATTTTATTTTTGGTGGTATGGAGAAGGCATTTGTATGGTTTGTTGTTGCTTATCCGATTCTCTCAATATTGTTGAAAGAAAAACTAGGTAAATTTGGACTTAAGTGGTTGATGTGGACTACTGTGTTAGGTAGCTGTTTTAAAAAATTGTCAAGTCAGCCTTTTATCCAGTTAGTAAGTAAATTTTAATTTTTTATTCGCTAAATTGAAGTTCATACATATTTATGTTACAAATTGATTTAGAGGTACAACAATGTGATAGCATGTATATCTGAGGTACAATGAGTGAAATTAAGCCTTTTTTAGTAAAATTATATTATACCCACTATGGCTAAACCTAAACTCACCAAATAAATAAAACCTCCAATGTCTTTTTTCTACAAACCTCAAACGTCTCTCTTGCCTCATACCTTATTATAAAAGTAGTTGTGTCTTAATAGGTATGTAATTTTCTTACACAATTGATTCCATATCTTATATGCTTAGATTAATTCTCATGCTTTCATGTCTTGTATCGATGTGGAAAACGTATTGTGATTGTTGTTTTTATGTCAATTTAATCTTTTTAATTATATGAAATGGATTGAGTAGAAGAAGAAGTTTCTTTAGTTGTTAATAAGTGGCATTGAAAACTAGACATCTAGAAGTGGAATTGTAACGTCCCAAATTGTTTTGGTCATGAATTAAGTTATTGCCGGGTGAATTTTGGTGCCTCCTGAGAGGGTTTGCTGTTCTAAATTATTATGATTGTGAAATAATTTATAAATTTAATTAAGTATGTTTTAGAATTCTAAGTGTTTTGTAGTGATTTAGTTTAATTAAGTCATGAAATATGTATTTTTAGAATTTTTAGAGTCTAGAATTAAGTTATGGTGAATTAATCGATTAAAATATGATGTATGCCTATATAGATGAATTATGATGTCATAAATTATTTTAGTAAATTTAATTAATGTGTAGAGAAGTAATTATAGGATGACATGTATAAATATAGAGATTTTATAGTGTTTAGTTGGACTTAGTGTAGTGTTAAATTCTAACCTTAAGATGGGAGGAACCTAAAATAATTTTGGTCTCCATTTATAAAACTATTGACCAAGTCAACTTTGTCTATACACAATGACAAATTACCACGTTGTCATTAAGGAATGAATATGAGCCTTTGGATGAGATTTTAAGATCTAATCTCCACCATTCATTTGGAGACAAGATCAAAGTGCTTAAATTCTATTTAAAACCTAAACAACTAAAAATGCAACAACTTTATCTTCTTCTTCGTCAAATTGTCATTTGTAATACCATTGACCAAGTCAACTTTGTCTATACACAATGACAAATTACCATTTTGTCATTAAGGAAAGAAGACGACCTGTGGATGAGATTTTATGATCTAATCTTCCCCATTCATTTGGAGAAAAGACCAAAAGTGCACAAATTTTATCTAAGGTGATGTTTGGTTAGGGGGAAGTAGGGAGGGGAGGTTGAAGTTCTTAGGAAGTTGAAATTAGCCATATGTTTGGTTGCTACTCTTCCCCATTCATTTGGAGAAAAGACCAAAAGTGCACAAATTTTATCTAAGGTGATGTTTGGTTAGGGGGAAGTAGGGAGGGGAGGTTGAAGTTCTTAGGAAGTTGAAATTAGCCATATGTTTGGTTGCTACTAGAAGAGTTCCGAGAATTTAACAGTTCCACTCCCTTGATCGTACAGGATGTTACTTCCTCCCTCACCCTAAGGAACATAACTTCTTGAGCTTAAATTATTGTCACTTCCTATTTTGTCCCTTTCTTTTTATTTTTTTGTTTTCCAAAGGCTTCTTGTGAGGACTTTTCTAGCATGAATATTTATGTCATTTCTAATATCAAATATTATTAACACATTTTTACTTTCCAAGAATTCAAAGAATCAACCAAACACAATCACATTATACTTCCTACGAAGTTACTTACTTAGAATTGTACTTCCTGGGAAGTAAGTCAATTTGAACTAAACAAGGTCTAAAACCTAAACAAAAAAAATGCGACAACTTCATCTTCTTCTCCATCAAACCCTAGCAGCACAAACCTCTTCTCTCTCTATCTCCTCCATTTTTCTTCACAACACCTTTAAAGCCACCATTTTTAAATAAGCTCAAGCTTTGGTAAGAATTCTATCATAAAACTTATTCTATATCTCTCTTTTTCATCTAAAATCTTAGTTATCTTTTAATATAAGGTAGAAATAGGTTCTCATGTATTTAATCATGTTATTCATGCATTTAGATTACAATTTCATTAAGTCTAGATATTTATTTTGAATTTTTTTCTTTTCTTAGAGGGTTCTTCCTCAAGGCTAAAGGAAAAGAGCATTTGATGGAGTGATTTGGAGGTTTAAGATACTAATTTAAGGTTAGTGCAC